GCCGCATGATGGGGGCGGATCTTCACTTCTGCCACCTTCTGCCTGCCTTCCGCCAACTGCGGCCGGCTGCCTCCGGCGGAGACGGCCTCGTTTCACTTCCGCCGACTTTCCGCCGCCCATCCGCCGGCTTCCGCTGCGGAGTAGATGACAACTCCTTCGATCCTCGAAGGCAAGGCCCTTTTTAAAGCGCCCCACGCCATTTGCGCGTCGCCCCCCAGGGGCGAGGCGTGCACCGAGAAATCTTCCAGTCTGTGCGACGTGGCGGGCGGTATCTGGCCGCACCGCTCGGGAAGCGATGTGCTGCAAGGTGGGTATACTATCTGTTCGGGTCGGACGCGCGCCCTCAAGGAGGACATATAGTTTTAGTATTTCTTTGTGCGTCCCGTCTGTAGCTGAACGAATCGAACAATGGCATAAACGAAAAAAATTGAGGTCCGCGCGGATTTCTCGGATCCGCGCTGGGGCCCCCTGGCGGCGCCTCTGGCGCCGCTCCTGGCGCGCTCCGCGCGCCAGCGAGGGGGGTCCATCGCGGATTCGAGAAATCCGCTAGGACATCCGAGTTCTTATGTTTATGTAAGTTTTCGTTCCCCCAAGGGCATCCGCCATGGGATGTGTCACTGCACCGACCTTGCAGACGTGCTGCCGCGGATCTTTACGTGGATTTCCGTCAGCACAAAACCCCGAGACAGCGAGCGAAAAACGAAATGGATTTCACGCGGATTGTCTGTAATCTTCATTCCTGGCAATGAAATCCGCGCAAAACTCACTTCGACATCCAGAACGAATTTCTTCAGTACAATCTGGGCCCATCCCATCGTTTTCCGAATAAAATCCGCTCTGCGATGATGGCGCTATCAGATGTGCCCAGATGGGACGCACAAAGACAAAGATAGACTAGACCTATATGTCCTCCTTGGGGGCGCGCGTCCGACCCGAACATACAGCATATCCATCTTGTAGCACATCGCTTCCCTAGCGGTGTGGCCAGAAAGCGCCCGCCACGGCGCACGGAGTGGAAGACTTCTCGGTACGCGCGTCGCCCCTGGGGGGCGACGCGCACATGGCGTGGGGCGCTTCAAAAGGGCCTTGCCTTCGAGGATCGAAGGAGTTGTCATCCCTTCCGCGGCGGAAGCCGGCGGAAGGGCGGCGGAAAGTCGGCGGAAGTGAAACGAGGACGTCTCCGCCGGCGGCAGCCGGTCGCAGCTGGCAGAAGGCAGGCGGGAGGCGGCAGAAGCAAAAATCACCCCCCATCGTGTGGCAAAAGGTGGTAGGGTTTCCGCAATCACCCATAATGCTAATAATGGTTCGAAGACAAATATGATAACAATAGTGCTACGAATAAGCATTCCAATGAATATAATAATAATAACAACACTAGTGGTAGTAGTAACGATAATAACGATGATTCATGAATAATGATAAAGGGAAAATGCTAATACGAGCAACGATAATACGAATAGTACAAGTATGAACAATGATAGTGCGGCTGGTAATAGATAGAATAAACCTGCGAAAACTAATCATGATACTAACTCTCATACTGGTACGGGCACGATTCGAAATTTGATTACGAACAGCCAGAATAACAATACTCATAGTGATACGAATAATGATTCAGAAGGGCTACTACTTCCAATCTGTATAAACATATTACGAGTACAAATGATACGACGGATCATGATGATACGAATAATGCCACTAATAGTACGGACAACTATAATAACAACAATACTACGAATGATACTAACAATGACAACGCTACTGCTGCCAATTGATATAAGCATGATGCGAATAATACTACTCATAACCATATGCTGGTGCGGCGCCGACCAGAGGCGGTCGACCGCATCTATTCGTGCAGCCGTAGGGCTGCCACCAGGCACGCCGGGCAAGGTGCCGGCGGGCTCCTTGGGGCCCCCACGGGCCTCGGCCACGAGGAGGAGGTGCCCCGACCCAGTTCTGCGCAGCGGCCTGGGCAGCCAAAGCCCCCCCAGAGCCCAGAGCGGTTCTCATCTCAGCGTCTTGGCTGCTGGACGCAGTCGGCCCGCACATTTAGGGTGCACGATGGGGACACAAGGGCCTCGGATGGGCCAACGATGTGCTGAAGAGGCAAGAGTGCAAGGGTACCCGTGGGAAGGTTGCCCATCCTTGCTATACGCGGGTTGCCTGTATCCGCTCCCGGAGGTGCCCCAAATCCGTCGACCCTATACGGATTCCGCGCCCTGGCCTGCGCCGCAGGCCTGTGCGCCACGGACAGGTGGCGACGTCCGAGCCCTACCCCCGCCAACCATTGAGTCTCCGGAATCGACGGGAGGCGGGGGTCGGGTTCGGATGTCACCCCGTGTTCGACAAATGCTGGGCCCTGCCCCCGCTGCCCGCCCCCCCCGCTGCCCATCGAGTTGCCTGGATCGTTGACAGGAGAAGGTAAGGTTTCCTGGTTCGGATTTCGCCGCCGAACTGAAGCAGGACCTGCGGGGGCGCCCCTTCCGCACTGTACCCAGGATACCCGCTTTCGGCGGTGCCAATGAGGCCGCCGACCCCAGCTTTCGTTACTCTGCGTTCGGTAATAACCGTGGGGGCTTCCCCTCCCGACGGCGGTCAACATCAACCTGTCCGCGCCCGCGGGCCGGGGGTCTGGTTGTTGCGGCGGGTGGCGTGGGCCGAATGGGGCCGACGTCGCGCTTCAATGCTTGCCTGCGCCGAGGTTTTGAGGCTGTCGGCCACTGTGGCGCCCCCCCCCAAACGCTTCTGCACGAACGCAGAATACACGGACTCCGAGAAGCGGGCTGCTCTCCACGGGCGCTGGCCGGCCCCTGGCCTTCGCCATAAGCCCGGGCGCCACTGGGGCAGGGCCCGCGCGGGCGCCCCCCGTTTCAAGGCTCTCGAGGCCGCCAGCGAAGCGATCGCAACGCAGCGCATGCACTTTGCTGCGCGAATACCCCGTTGGGAGAAAAAACTCCAAACGAACGAGAGCCATCCGCGCCGCCGCTCGCCAGTCCCCCGTCCTCCGACGTCTTTTTTTCGATGCCGGCATTATCCCTCGATCGCGTCCTTTGGAGGGCCGCCCTGGGCCCGGGACTGCCAGAATATTGTTGAAGAAGAATATGGCCCACGGGGAGGGGTCCAGACTAGCCCTCGATCGGACCCCCATTCCCTGTGCACTCGGTTTCGCGCGTTATTTGTTCGGCGAAGTGACGCAGGGCGCTCCTGGATGGTCCATGCCAAGACAAAAAGCGCACGTCCGCGCGATGCTGGGCAGAGGTCCTCTGGGGGCCCGCTCGGCGGCGCGCCTCCGCCAGAGGGGAGGCCTTCTCAGAGGGCGGCGGGGCCGCCCAGAAGCCCCCCGAAGCCGTCCTGGCCCTCGGAGAGAAGGCTCCGGAAGCTTCTCAGAATGCCCGGAGCCCTCCCAGCCTCCTGCGAAGGCCCGCCCCCTCTGCATTCCCCCCCCCCCCCCCCTGGCTCGCCGCCGAGAGGTGAGCCAGATGTGTGGGGGCCCCGCTACGCTGCGCGACGCTGAGGTCTGACGCCGAGGCGCGTGGGCACAAACACTGCATGCAGTGGCGGCAGACAGCGCACTGCCAGGCCACCCGGTCTCTCAGATCGCCGGTGCAAGAGCAGCACGTCGTTGTACTTGGTCCCGCCCCGCTCAAAATCACGGCGTCGGATGTCTCGGCACGCGGCATTCCATCCGCCCTCCGCCCCTCCGACACCCTCAGCCCTTTCGCCGCTCCGTCCGCCTGTGCCTCGTTGCCACCGCGGCCCCCCTGGAGGCGTCAAAACATGTCATTCTTTCCAGGCTAGGGTGAAGCCCTGGCGGTTCTTGGAAACGGCAGGGCCGTTTTTGGACCCCGTTTCCGTCCAGCCGTTTGTTTCCCGGGTCTGGCGTCACTTTTACGTGGCCATGTTTTGTCAAGCTCCTTCTCCTCTCTCAATCCGAGAGCAATTGTTTCCCCGTTTCGGGGGGCCGTTGTTTTACCGTTTTCAATATCAAGGTACAGATTTCTGGGAACGGTTGGAAGCGGCCCTGCCGCTTCCACAAAATACTATGGTGACGCCCTCCAGGATTGCCCTCGCGAGCAGGCATGCGAATGCCAACGATGCCATAATAAGCCCCCAAGAAGCTCCCAAGACTCAAGAGGGCCTCAGTGGGAGACCCAAGAAAAACCCACAAAGGGGGCACGAACCACCATTTCGAGCCCACTGCCCCGGGACGCCCGTGGTTGCGCACGCAGCACCTCAAGGAAAAGACTGCCACCCACCAGCGCCGCAGTGGCAACGGGCCGTACGGGCACGCGGGCAAGCGCCCGCGATGGAACAGCCTGGGCCGGCGGAGTGGGCGAAGCTACTAAACATGTTCGCACCGGGGCGAAGCCCTCCAACGTGAGCTGTTGTGGGGCGACCCGGAGCCACTCGGAACAGCTCTTGGGCTAAGGGATTTCCCCCCTTGGGTCGGAAGGGGCCCTCTTCCCCCACAGCCTCGGAAAGGGGGGCCGCGGCCCCGCCGGTGGCCGGCACGCGAGGCGTGCCCTCCCCGACGAGGCCGAGGGTCTCGAGCGCTTGCGGCCTCGAGGAGTGTCCTGACGAGCGTCCCGCTCCTGTCAGCAGGTCCTCAGGTTCGCAGGCCTCTGTCGTGAGAGGCTTGTCCTTCGACTCGCGCTGGAGCGGCCGCGAGTTGCTCCAGCTTTCCCTGGAGCTCTCTGGATGTCGGATGTTCCTGGATTTCCCTGGATGTATCTCGATTTGCCTGCATTTACCTCGATTCATCTGCCTATCTGGATTTTTTCTTTCTCGATCCACAGAGGTCGATTAGCGACAAGTCGACAAACCCTTAGGGACTCTGGGCCCTTGGCGTCCAGGAGCCTCATCACCTCGGTCCCCCCCTCCTCCTCCTCCTCTTCCTCCTCATCCTCCTCCCCCTCCGCCCTCCTCGCCCTCCTCCCCCTCCTCCTCCACCTCCTCCGCTTCTCCCCCCCCACGCCGAATAGAGGGGGGATCGGCACCTCCACTCCAGGAACAGCTCCGCGCAGCTGAGCGCGACCGCGGCGTTGTACGCCTCGCCCCCGTCCACGTCGCAGGCGACAGATGGCGAAGGCGACGGCGACGACGGGAGAGGACAGGGAGGAGGAGGAGGAGGAGGAGGAGGAGGAGGAGGAGGAGGAGGAGGAGGAGGAGGGGCAGAATCTTATGGCGCTCGCCGCCGAGTCGAGGCCACGGAGACCGCCTCGCCGCCCCGCCTCCCTGCGCGCAGGCCGCACGCCGCCTCTGCCGGGAGAGGGCAGTGAAGAGTGGGAGAGGGCAGGGAGGAGTGGGAGGCGCACCGCTCCTCCTCGCATCTCGTTCCTCTCTCCTGGCCCCCTGCTCCTCCTCCTTGGCTGCTCTCGCCGCCCTCCTTCCCCCCTTCGCCTCCCCCTCCCCTCGGCCGTCGTTGCTCCCCCTTCGTTCCTTGTGGATCGCTCCTCGGCGACCACTCCTCGCGTCGCCCTCCTCCCTGGAGTTGCGCCAGCTAGCAGGTTGGTCCGGAAACACCACGCTGCATTACCGATCAGTAACAGCGGACAGCAGCACGCAGAACGAAGCAAGCAGCAAGGGCGGCAGCACACAGCAACAGCACGCAACAACACACGACAAGCAGAGCAGCACTTGCAATCAGCAGCACCATGCAAGCAGCAACGGCAAGTAACAACGGCAAGCATTACCTACCTAACGCAACGACGTCAGCAAGAAGCGGCACACAGTAGCAGCCACGCAGCACCAACCATCACCGAGCAGTGGCACGCAGCAGCGCCAGTCCGCATCAAGCACGCAACGGCTGACGGCAATCCGCAGCGGCGAGACAGAGCCGTACGTGCATGCAATGTTGCAGCCAGCACGCGGCAGGAAGCGGTAAGGATCGGGCGGGCGACCAATCAAGCAAGCAAAAAACATAAAACAGCCTGTCTGGCCAAAGGCTATATCGGGCCCCCACGACAGCAGCTTTGCTAGCAGGACTGCCCGTGAGCAGGCAAGCAAACAAATGATCCCCCCCCTCGGGCGGGTGGTAAGGGGGGGTGACCTAAATTGGGGGGTGAAGGAACGGGCCCTGGAGGGGCACTCGAGGGCCCCTTTTGGAACCGGCGGGGGCTCAAAAGGGGGGGGCCCCAAGGGCCCCTGTAGGGCCCTTCTCTCTCCCCCCTTTAGGTCACCCCTCGTCCACGCCGCCCCCTGGTCGCCCTTCGGTCCTCGCCCCTCTCTTGAGTAGCCAAGAAAGGACCCCTAACCCTTTGGGAGGGAACCTAACTTGGGAGGGCCGAACACATCAGGGGGTCCTTTCCTGCAGACGTATCGAACCAAACCGCCCAGATCTGTTATCCCTAATGTGAAGGCGGGGACCTCAGTGAGGCCACGTCTCCATCGTGTTATGAGGGTTATGGGTCTTTTTGTTTTCAATGATCAAGGCCTCGGAAGAACATGGCGAACACTGCCACATTAATCTGTCAATGCGTCCTCCCCCAAATAACAAAGCTGGCGGTGGGTTGAGTGAGCTGCACTTCGACCAGTCTTCCCCGCGCATGCCAGCTTTGAGTTTGGGGGGGGCGGGGGTGCACGTTTTCCCCAGGTGCCGTAGGCGACCCGAGGAGGAGGAGGAGGAGGAGGAGGAGAAGGATGAGGAGGAGGCGGTGGAGGAGGGGGAGGGGGAGGAAGGGATGGAGGAGGAGGAGGAGGAGGACGACGAGGGAGGAGGAGGAGGAGGAGGAGGAGGAGGAGGAGAGGAGGAGGAGGAGGAGGAGGAGTAGGAGTAGGAGTAGAGAGGAGGCGGAGGAGGAGGAGGAGTAGGAGAAGGAAGAGGAGGAGGAGGAGGAGGAGGAGGAGGAGGAGGAGGAGGAGGAGGAGGGGTCGCCTAAGCCCTTCGGAGAAATCCTCCAGGCGGGGGAGTGTCCACTTATTGTTTCCTCATACCGTCTCTCTCTCTCTCTCTCTCTCCTCGCTCCCTGCGCCTCCCTCGCTCCTCGCTGCAAGCCCCTCTCTCCTGGCCTTGCCATCGCTCGGACGTCTATCTCCCGCGCATGCTTCGATTCCGTGCTTGGCTTTTGTCGTCGAGAATCAAGGATGCTCATCGAGGGCCCTCGCCGAGAAACAAATGCACACGTCCGAGCGATGCCAAGTGGCCCCTGGCTCCTCTCTCATGTCCAAAAGCTACTGCCCCCTGCGCGCCTCCCTTCTGCCAGCCCGCGCGGCCCAGCAAAAGCCCCAAGAACGCCCCGGAGAGCCCCGCGACGGCTCCTGTCTCCCTCCTCATTCACTTTTGATTCGCTCCTCACTCCCTCATCCTCGCTCCTCCGCGGTCACTTCTTGCTCGCTTCTCCTTTCTCGCTGCTCTGGCTCCGTGCATCACGAACGCTTTCCAGCAGCATTTCCGCCATCACATCACATTCGAGCTCGAAGAGATTCCCTGGACGCTAAACCACGGTTCCACCAATGCCAGGGCCAACTCGTCCGAGAAGGCTTGCGGTGGCAGCGAGGGTCTGCCGGTGCGAGAAGACAGGCAGTGGTTGCAGCGGTTGCGGGTACCGTATAGCGAGCGGATCCGGAGCAAATCAGCTTCAGCTACACTGCTGTGGCCAATTCGTTCGAGGAGGCACGCAATGGCAGCGAGGGTCTGCCGGTGCATTGAGCAGGCAGTGGCAGTAGCGGCTGTCGGTGCGCGATGGCGAAGCAGGAGCAAACCATCATCAACTACAACGCTGTGGCCAGGTCGAGCGGGAAGGCTGGCAGTGGCAGCGAGGGCCTGTCGGTGCGAGGAGGCAATCAGTGGCATCAGCGGTTGTCGGTGCCCGATGGCGAAGCAGGAGCAAAAGACGGTCAGCTACGATCATGGGGGCAGATCGTGCGAGAAAGCAAGCAGTGGTGACCAAGCCCCGTAGGCATGCGCTTGTAGCAGCGGCTGCGAAACAGGAGCAAATCACCATCAGCTGCATTGCTGGGGCCAGATCGTACGAAAAGGCAAGCAGCGGCAGCCGCGGTTACGTAGGTGCGGGGGGGCAGGCAGTGGCAGAACCGGTGCCTCATGGCGAAGCCAGTGCAAAGCGTCGTCGGCTGCAGAGCTGGGACAAGCTCGAACAAGAAGGCAGGCAGTGGCCGCGGGCCTGTCGGGGCGACAAGGCAGGCAGTGGCCGCCGCGGCTCTCCGTGCCAGGTGGCGAACGGGAGCAAACTGCTCGACAACAGTGCTGTGGCCAGTTCGGGCGAGAAGGCAGTCATTGCCAGCGAGAGCGTCTCGGTGTGAGAGAGCGATCAGTGGCAGCAGCGGTTGTCAGCGACCGATGGCGAGGCAGGCGCAACTCAACATCGGCCACGATGCTTGGCCCAGGTCGTGCGAGAAGGCAGCCAGTGGCAGCAGGGCACGTCGGCGCCAGGAGGCAGGCGATGGCAGTAGCGGTGTGCTCCATGCCTGGAGGCGAAGCAGGAGTAAGTCACCCTCTCCACGATCCGAACGCGCGAGAAGGCACGCAGTGGCAGCGAGGGCCCGTCGGTGCGGACGCTTCTTGTGGTGAAGAGGACTGGCTGCAGGGACTACTGAGCAGGGGGCCTTGGACGGGATGCCATTCTACAGAAACGTTGGTGCATCCTGGGATTACTCTGGTCCTCCGCCTCCTCCTCCTCCTCGTCCTCCTCCTCCAGGACCTCCTATCCGAAGCGCTTAGGGCTTGTGGACATTCTTCTCGGTAGCTTCGCCTAAAGATCTGGCCGCCCACTCTCCCCCAAAGAGCCTATGCATTCTCCCTCGGATGAGTGCAAGAGGGTGGCCATTACAGCTCCCAGATAATCTTCAAGCCGACGTCGAAATCCGGATCGCTCTGCGTATCGACGGTCGCCCCCCCAGCAGAGGGGCCTTAAAAGGTTCCCCAGCGGCACAATATTGCCCTTACGAGGCCTCCAGGAAACTCCAAAATTGCCCACGATGCCCCGCATGTGGTTCACATCTGTCGTCCAACCCGACATCACCATGCCATGCCTTATGTTATCCATTGATTTCTTGATTGTCATAGTTTTCTGCCTTCAGTGGCTCTTCGACGCTGCCAGAGCGAGAAAGAGAAATATATAGAGAGAGAGAGAGAGAAAAAAAAACACAACTAAAAACATTGCTCAAGCCATGGCCGGAGCTCCCAGGAGGGTTCAAACAGGCTTACCGCGGGTTCGTGTCGTGTCGACCATGGCGTTGGTTTCTGACACCGCGGGGATCGTTCAACCTTGAACGATCGGCCGTTTCCGAAACGTCCAAATCGTTCAACATAGATCGATTCTGGGTCGCTCGCGGCGTTCAACTTTGAACACCGCTGGCGGGGTCGCCGCCGGTCGACACGACACGAACCTACCGTACCACATCATCCAAGTATGGCCTTGGGTATCCCGAGTCTGTTTTCTTGCATCCGGTCCTGGCGCACACGCAGCGCGCCATCCTGACGTAGAGTGACGTTCCAGCAAGGGCACGGAGGGCAGCGTCAGAGCACTGCCTTCATCTGCTGCTGGGAGAGGCTCCTGGAGGTGACGATCCACGAGCCTGCCTGACGACGGCAACGCCCACGCACAGGCTCGCAGCCAAATTTCCTGGCAACCGCCCGCGACGCCGCCGCGCGACGGCTCCCGTGGGCACCTCCTACGACATCGCCCCCCCACATAAAAACAACGAATCATCCGCCACGACGCCTGCGCGAAACGCACTGCGAGCAAATAGCACAGAGCGCAGCAGCGCAGTCGTCCTCGTCGCCCCGAGCGCCGGCGAAATGAAAGCGACCGAACGGTGCACCGCTGATGAACTCGGAGGGCAACCTGAACTGTGTGCAAGATCTGGGGTCAATGCAGAAACCCACTGCTCGTTGGCTCGGCCGTGCGCCGGGCCAACACTGACGGCCAACCAGCAGGCCTGCTCCGCAGACGCCACACGGCACTGCCCGTCCGCCTAGGTCCTATCAAGCCAGCGGTTCAGAGGTGCTGCCAAACCTCTTGGAACGCCATCCTGGGACCGAGCCAGGCTGTCCATGGCTCGGAGAAGGACCAACTAAGACAACCCCGGCTC